CACCGAATACATAAACTGGTCTACTGGCAGTTTTGAATGAGACTCACATGAAGATAGACAAGACCTGGACCAACATGCTTTTTGAAAAAGAAATACTCCGGAAATGGACCGACAAATGGCTGGTTGGCTGGTTGGCTTGTTGGCGATTTAAACCTCTGATGTTCTTCGTTGCAATCCATTGGGATTGATCATGGTTCATCAGCCTAAAAAGCGGATGGGATGGGAAGAACAAACATGTCTATGTCTCTCCCTCTCTGGTCAATTAATCAGCCAATTCGGACGTGATATTCTGCCGGTTCATATGGCTCAAGGTGAATAGGAAGGTTCAACAGAAAACCAAGAGGTGATCCTGAACAAATGGTGATCTGAAGTAATTACATGATATTTTTAACCATCATGATGACCGCATCAAAATCCTTCCAGCATTTTGCATTAATTACGACACTTAGTCTCAAATGCCCTCTAAGTCATTCCACGATGTTGTTTTTTAAAGTCCTACATCCCCCCCATTTATTGCTACAGTTATCAACCTACCCATACCCTACCCCATCCTAGCTTCGCTCCCTGGCTCCACCTCGCCCGCGCCAAACATCTCCGGAGCAGCTGCTCTTCACTCAGAAGATCGCCACGGGAGCGGCTTTTGATGGCCATTTGGAGCCTGTGGCGATGGACCAAGGTGACCAAGTCCTTTTGAAAAGACCGTCCGGGAATGCCTGCGACCCAACGTGCTTACAACCGGGGTTATTTAAAATCATCCAAGTTTGGTTACTTTAGTGATACTGTACCTGTATTATCATATATCTATCATTGTTTATCCACAGCATGATTACTTCAAAGCGATCGATTGATCCAATGGACCGAACATACCCCTAAGTTGATCCTCTATAAAATGCACATGCTTTACCTCTATAAAATGCTGTTCCGGGACTCATTTTATAGAGGACTTGCTTGGCCGTCTAATAAAATGCCCCTCCAGAGCTCCCTATTTTACCATTTTATAGAGAGCTTCCTTCCCAGGATCAAAGATTATAGAGAGGTGCAAGATGTTGCAGATGGATGATGCATTTTATAGGAGGGATTCTTTGCAAAATATTACCGTTATTTATGGACCATGTTGTGAAAGGAAAGTGCATTTTATAGAGGGAAACTGGGGGCAACCTTGATCTTTAAGATGCTTTCAGAGCATATACTGGCTTGTATGGAACAGGTATTTTATAGAGGCTTTACTTTCTTGGCATTCCGTAGGTGGCAGTTTGAAGGATGCACATGGATGCACAGTGATTCTTGCAACTGTAGGGTCTGAGTCGAACACACGCGTGCGCCTTGCAACCTTTATTATATACCGCTGGGCCAGCCATCTAAAATCCCTGGGCTAGTGCCCACTGGCTATAGCCAGCTAAGAATTTAGCAACCGCCTGTGGAAAAGGCATTTTATAGACATATGTCGTGCCATATTGGAGCAGCGCTTCGAAGACAACACCTAGATTGGAGCAGCATTTTATAGAGGATAACTGGGTTGTTGCCCGATGTCGCACTGCGTGTCTTTGCACCCGCGTCGTCTGCGGAGAAGCATTTCATAGAGATGACGGAGAGGTCATTTCATAGAGGGTTCCCACTTGCTGTCTGGATGTTGGCTGACGGAGGACCATTTTATAACAAATTTTCTCTATAAAATGCTTCGCAAAGCATCCTAGGGAATCAATTAAATGTCCGAACTGGTGGAGCTGAGCAACAGCACGCTGGCTGGGAAGCGATTCATGTCGCCATGGCCAGTTTTGGAAACGAGGAAACCCAGGTCCAAGCATTGACTGGGACTAAGCAGTACTAAACTGTTGAGCAAACGAAGCTTTCAAAACAACTTAGACTGCAAGGAACAGACTGCAAGCCAAGCCCAGTGGTCAAAACTAGTTCAACAAAACCACTTTCACGGCAAAAAACTCGCATTTTTTCACCTACCAAGCAGTTGCGATTTAGCAAAAAGAAACAACTATCCTGGAATGTATTATATAGAGGTATAGGTATGGTAACATAACACTGCTGATAGCAATCGCATAAATCCACTGCCAAACTTGCGGTTTTCCAGTATCAGACTGGTTGCTCAATGGATAGCCTCAAATCAAGCCAAAGTAGTATCAACTCGAGCCAAACGCTGCAAGAACCCCTTGTTCCGCGCAAGCCATGTGGTCTAAGCCATGCGTTCCAAGCCTGCTACCCCAGTCAAACATAGATTTTGAGGGTTGGCCAGCGCTTTCACGGAGCTTTTGAAGCCTGACGAAGATATGAAACTACCCTGGCTGCGATTGAAAATCTGCGCTTTTGGCCAGGTTTCCTGACATCTCCAACGAACCTGGCCAACATTGACATCACCACCATTGGCTCCCCAAATGCGGGCTAGCAGGCAGCCATCAGTAAACCATCCGCAGGTATATGTGTCATTATGTAGTTGTCGAATGCTGTCTTAATATTCGTCATGCCTACAGTTCTGGGGGACAACAAATTTGCATCTTTCACGAAGGAATTTGGGGGCCGCGGCAGTGAAATCTCTTGGAACTTGATCCTCTGCTTCGGCCGTCATCGCTTGGGGTCACCATAGGGACATTCAGGTGCTTCTGGGAGGTGCGGACCACCAGCCCTGGCGGGTGGGATGGTCATCTCTTCCGCTTTGCGATGGTAAAACATCTATCGTGTTCTGTCAGACATGGGGAGATAACATGGATGTGATATGATGTCATCATGTAGCGGTGGATTTGCAACTCGCAAAAATGACCTTTGAGTCTTTGAGTGGGAAAATGTAGGAAACTCTCGAAAATCGTGGTTACACAATCACAACAAATCACCCTGAAACAATGTCTCTTGGGGATACTCAAAATCATCAAATATAAACAAAAAGGTAAAATAAACGTGACATGGTCCAACACGGTCTCCAAACCATCTTCAAGGCATGAGAACGGAATCACATGTAAATATACAACAACTAAATCAAGAATGCAACCAATATACACCATGCAAACCAAACAGGTCCCCGTGCTGCTGCTACTCCATTTTGGTTTGCATTCTTGAATGGACGGCATCTTTTGCCCGTCTCTAGCAGCTAGCAACTATGTGACCAATGTGATCTAGATTGTCGCATCCTCATTGGGTCCACAGCACATTGCGGCATATACACATAATTCCGTATACGCGTATGTATCCATATACATTCTAATTCTCAAAATAATATGTCTATATCATATGACTGCATACAATATTGTATATTGGTATATAAGCGTGCAGTTAGATTGATAGCTCCATCTTTGTCAGAAGTCGACTTGGGATCCTACTCATGCTCTTTCTGTTCATCAGGATGCCAATCAACTCGCACCTCCATTTCATGATTTGATGTGACCATCCCCTTCTTAATCCTTCTATATCCTTCTCAATTTGGGATATTTCAATCTCAGCTATCAAACTTGGGGGCACATACCCAACTTAGAGTACCTTAAAATGTTCTACATCACTTTCACGTATAATATGTATGTATATATATATATACTGTATATATATATATGTGTGTGTGTGTGCGTGTGCGTGTGTGTGCGTGTGTGTCTGTGTGTGTGTATGTGTATGTATGTATGTATGTATGTATGTATGTATGTATGTATGTATGTAGGTATGTATGTATGCATGTATGTATGTATGTATGCATGTATGCATGCATGCATGCATGCATGGATTTATTTATGTATGTATGTATGTATGTATGCATGCATGCATGCATGCATGCATGGATTTATTTATGTATGTATGTATGTATGCATGCATGCATGCATGCATGTATGTATGTATGTATCACACATGTATACTACGTGTAGAATGTGTGGATGTAATTCAGGGTTTGAACAATTAAATACCTAGAGTATTCATCTAGATTTCAAGAAATATCCCAACCCAGGCCTCAAACAAATATCGCCTATAGATCCCTCCTGTTTTGGTAACCCCTTTCTCGCCAGGGTGCTTGGAGGCGAAAACGCGCTTGGCCCAACTCATCCGACGGTCGCAAACGTGTTTGCTCATGCGGGTGTGCCAGTAGTTAGTGCCTGCAGTTGCCAAGGATGAAACTGGTTGGTTACCTGGTTGGTTACCTGGTTGGTTACCTGGTTGGTTACCTGGTTGGTTACCTGGTTGAGAACGGGATTCCCCTGCTGGATTGTGATATACCCAAATATATTGGTGGTATAAATATATATAATATATAATATATAATATAATCGAGAATCAATGAACAGGGGTCCTGAACACTGCCCAACTGGATTTGGAGTGGATCTTGAGCCCTGGTCGTGGAGAAGTGTGGGAATGATATGTCTTCCAGTCCCCGATGTTTGTTTTCAAGACGGGACCCCGCCGGCTCCCAAAGCCCAGGGAATTTCAGGGAGGATGACCATGTTCAGAACCACTGGATGCCAAAAAGAATGCCAGATAGAATGGCGGAAAGAATGTCAGATATATAGAATGCCAGAGCGTATGCCAGAAAGAATGCCAGAATATTTATGCATGCCTGTACTTCCAGATGATATGTCAGAAACTATGTCAGAATTGTGTGTCAGAATAGACGCCAAATAGAATGCCAGAATGGAGGCCTCAAAAGATGCCAAATAGAATGCCAGAAAGAATGCCAAATAGAAAAGCGGAAATAATGTCGGATAGAATGGCAGAGAGAATGTCAGAAAGAATGCCAAACATAATTTAATTAATAATATTTATGGCCAGCCATATAAACTTTCAAAAGATATGTCAGAAACTGTGTCAGAATTGTGTGTGAGAATAGATGCCAAATAAAAAATGCCACATAGAATGCCAGAAAGAATGTCAGCATAATTCAGAATAGATGCCAAATAAAATGCCAGAAAGAATGTCAGATAGAATGGTGGAAAGAATGTCAGACAGAAAGGCGGAAAGAATGTCAAATAGAATGTCAGAGCGTGTGCCAAAAAGAATGTCAGAATGTTGATGCCATATATACTTCCAATTACTTCCAAATGATATGTCAGAAACTATGTCAGAATCGTGTCAGAATGGAAGTCGGATAGAAAGGCAGAAGTACATAATGACAATGTAAATATATAATATATGAGTCATATGAGAAAGATGTTTGGCATACTCTTTTCAACTGGAACCTCGTTTTGAATCGGACAAGGCAGTGCAGTCAGACTTGCTGTGATGTGGATCTCCCCACCTTGCCCGCGGTCTGCTGCAATATCATACTCCTTGAAGCCTTTCTTACCTGGGCTGCCGGTCATATTCCACGCATTCCCACGGTGCCTTGGTATGAGTTTATGTGAAAAGATACCAAACATTGCTATCATATTCCTCATCGATCTTGCGATTTTGGGCTAAAGTACCTATACATGTTGGACACACCTATCAAGTCTTTTGGGGTGGGGGCCAGCATTGGGATCCTCCCTGCCTCAAGCTGCGCCAAGTGGCATCGGTCCTCGAAGTGGTAGTTGTGAGTGAGCTGGTCCAGGGTGATTTCACCCGCAAATTGCTTCCTCCATCCGTCGAGAATGGTGAAACATGGGCCACTGATGGATACTCGCTTCATTCACGACTGGCGGTGGAACCAAAAAAAAATCATTCTTAAAAAATAGCACATCTAGGATTGAAATGATTCTTAAGCATTCTCTATTAAACGGTTTAGGCAATGGTCTTTGACGGCTCCTCCATGTGCAGGTCCGCGACCAAGCTTCGCCGGGTTTGCACTCGCCGCCAGCCTCCCCGCAGCCTTGCCTAAGAGACGGTGCAGCGGAATTGTCAGTGATAAATAGCATGTGAAATAATCCATCCACCCACACACATATAACATATAAATATAAGTTAATACATATATGTATAAATTTATATATGTTTATAATTGTTTATAGTATGTATATATATATAAACAATTGTGTAAACATGTAAATAGTTTTATGTATGTACGTTTATAATCTCTTAATTCTCTTAATATAGTATTTAGTATATAAATTAGGCTGAGCTATGCTGTGAGTCAAAATCTGGATCACGGCCATCTCTTGGATTGCCAGCAATCCATGGGGATTTTGGATGTCCAAATCTTACGAATCTTAGATCAACATCCAACCACGGACGGGCGGTGTATCGAAGCCTACATATGCACAATAATTTTGATTCAACCAGGAATTTTCCATGGCATTTACTATCGCCCTACAGACCCCGAGAATCGGCCATTTTTAGGTTGGAAAGTCGACTTCAAACCCCTTATGTAGCAGGGTCGTCAGGTTACATCCAACTGGAAATTAACATATCCATTGAAAGTCCAGTGCCCAGCAGCTTCTGCTGGAAGGTCTTGGATGGACAGGCACCGGGGAAGCCTGGCTGTGCCATGTTGGGCCTGTTCTTGGGAAAATCTGAGCCGGAAAGCCGTGTTCTTTTAATGCAAAAACCCAAAGAAATCAAATAAAGGGGTAAGACTCGTGAAAAAAAAACATAAATGTCGTTGTTTTTGTAGACATCCTTGATATTCTGCTTGACTTCTTCCACATCAAAGGCTGGTACTTCAAATAGGATGAAAACACCCAAATTGCCAAATAAACTGTTGAATTTTGGGTTACCCTCTTTTCGGCCAAACCCATCTACAAAATTTGGGACCAGGAGGGGGATTACGTCAACATCCTCCATCAGTATCAGCTGAGACGCTGTACCATGTGGCTTGCGAATAGGCGGCATGGTTGAAGCTAGGTCGATCGCAACCTGAAGCAAGTTTCGTCGACTTTGTCTGATAAAACTTTAACCTTTTGGGCCACTGACTCAGTGAAGCACCACGTTCAACTTCAAGCCTCAGTACTATATAAGAAATCCGTCATAACAATATATAATATAATATCTATATATAGCATAAAATACTATATGATATTTTGCGAAGCCAGCATCTTCATTCAGCGTCTGGAAAATAAGAACTCCCAAACCTGGCTTTAGATGCAAAGGTAGACATGCTTGATGGTTGAACACGGTTGAACCCAATTTTAGATAAGAATGATAAGATAATGTTAGATCCCTTGATGCTTCTTCCAAAAGCTTTTCAGATATCCTGCGTTTCGGTTGCCAGGGTTGCCCAGCGATGCCCCCCCCCCTGGGGGCTCAAAGGGCTGCCGCCAAAGGCACCCACGACGTAGCCATACTTTTGGTAATCATCCAACACCTGCAGGCCGTGTTTCATGGGATCTTTTCAGAAACAACAACCACCAATAAATAAATTACTGTAATAAGGACTCTCAGGCTTGGGAACTGGATGGGATCCCTGACCCCTGGCAGCTATAAAATGGGATAAATGAGGATACACATGCCCCGAACCCCAAAAATCTCAGATCCAACGAGTTGCCTCAAGGAGGGGCCTACCAGTGAAACAATGGTAACTGGAATGCAACTGATACAAGGGCCCCCTAATGGTACCGGAGTCCAAGAAGGAGACAGGGTGCCAATTATGATGCAGACGTGCATCAGAAGATTAGTTCAAACAAATAAAAAGGAAGCTATGACTTGTCACATCTTTGGAGAACTGTGATGGTGTTTCAGTTAGACAATGTTAAACAAACAGCAAGGGTGGCTTCGCTGAACATGGAATGCACGGTCCAAGGTTTCAAGGGTACAAGAAGCAACCTATGTTTCTTGCAAATCAATGGGTACGAACACTTCCCTGACAAGTGGACACTGGACGTCCAACATGATCCGTATTGCCAATGGCGGCAGTCAATGTGGGTTGGAGTTGCACCCTTTAGAACTTGACAGCATGAGCGATGCAATAGGAATCAAATTTGATGAATATGAGTTGGGCGAGTCATTTTTCCACATCCGTACACCAATTCTGGAATAGGCAAGCCCATCAAAATCCAAACTCCCACAGCCATCACAGCCAGCAAACAGGTTTGGGCCCAGTGCAAGCGCCGCTATCAAAATGGCACAGGGGCGCAAAGTCCTTAGGCCAGGCATGGCCTAAGGCCCCAAAGGGCCGAAGGACACGGCCATTTGGGGGGGATCCATTCCATACCCCCATTTCAGGAAACCTGGCCATTTCATGCCATTTCCACCATCCGCAGCTCTCGGGCTCGATCTAAGGCCCAAACCTTCTTGCTGTGGAGCAACTCTGGGGTTGGCATCATGGTGATCTTGTATCCTGCCACATGTCAGAATGGGCAGCGGATCGTTATATATTTCTATATAGAAACATGAAGAATTGAGATCTTGTAGATGGGCCCTTTGGGGTGGACTTCATGATTGGTAAGGAGAGTTACCCTCCGGTGATCTACAGACTGCAAATTTCTACAGTACAATTACTGGTCAGTGGTGTCAACCCATAACCCAAAACATAGTCATTGGAGATCATGATGTCGGTTCAAATGGAGAATGAAAAAACACATAAAAACAACAGAGTATGATTCTTGACGTATTCTCATAGTCAAGAGCTTCTACCAGTTCCACGCAACAAAATGAGCATGCGTGCGTGAGCGAAAAAACTCAGTTGTTATAGGTCTGTGGTAGTTTCTCGCATATCACCACTGGTTCTCCACCATTTGGATAGGTCTGAAAATGGGTTGTACCGCAATATTCATGGCCATCTTAAGGGTGAAAATGAATGAACATGGTGATTTTCACATTGATTAACCATCAATTTTGATCAAATTCTTGGGGATTGCCGAGGTGCTTAAGATCCGTGTGATGCCGAACTTCCGCGGGCAGTGGCCGACCACTTCGCTGTGGAGGTACCACATGACGCCCGCCAAATTGGCCATGTTGACCTCGATAAATCATGGCCGACTCGGCCAACTCGATGGTTTAATCGAATATTGGGTGAATATTGGGTGAATATTGGGTGAATATGTTAGAACTGCTAGGATTTCCAATATTTCCAGATTAAACCTATGGTTGATCTAACATCGACTAACTATGGCTTTAATCTGGGAATAGAATAATGATTTAATATGGAATTATGGAAATAGAATCTCTTCCCCCCTTCATATTAAGCACCCTCCTGAAACTGCGGTAAAAAGTAGGGGATGAAACCCCATATTTGGCACATGTTGAGATCATGCGATATTAGGTAATTGGATTAAACTGAGTCACCATTTTAACTTGTATAGGGAGTCCAACCTGATGGAATTGTGGTGAAGAAAATAGGGAATCATGGGGAGAGAACAAACACAAAAGATGGAGATATGATATATGATGCGTATATCTATACAGTATATAAAATCTATTAAAAAAAAAAACTATACATGTGCTTGTAGGACTATGAACTCGAAATGACACATGTTTCTTCGGAGAGTTTTGACCCATCAAATATGCAGGATTAAGCATTCAAATTAGAGCGAACGACTAGGATTGTCAGGGTGAGGACTGCATCCAGAGGGAAAATAGATTGTAATGGTTTCACTATGGGTTTCTGGAAGGATAATCGCATGCGCAATATTATCAATATTGAACAGAACAAAGAAAAACAAACAACATGCCATTTCAACAAGCAAGTTGTAGGGGTTCAGTGGGCAAACACTAGGACATCTCATAAACACATCTCATGTTCACTGGATTGGTTTGAGGCAATGATCCAGGAGGAAACCCACAACATTTTGCCATGATTTATCTGCGCCTATTCGGGGCGCAAAGCATATCATGCCCAACAATAAACCAACATACACCACACATTGCAAACTATTTATCACTGTGGCTCTCCCATTAGCTCAAGAGTGTGCCATGTTCAAAGATTGGGGAGACGCATGCTGTACCCATCGGGGAAGAAAATGCTGCGAGTAACATTGGTGTCCTCATAGTTGTGGTCATTCTTCGCCCGGTAGACCTGGATCATCTGGGTATGGGCCAAAATTGAGAGTAGCAATCAGCCTATATACCCGTCTACTTGTCATAGGCCATCATGGGACCCAAGCAAGTTTTGGGGTGAAAAAAACCTTAGACTTGCATAATAGTAATGTGACAAACCCAACTATTATATATATATAATGTGCGTGTGTGTGAGAGATTTATGTTTTGGTACGATTTACAATGCCCTCGAGTGGTAAAATGGTACAAAATCGGGATGGTTTTTCTTTGTTTTACCATGGTTTACTTACGGCCCGGTTCCGTCTCCAAAGGTTCAATTTCCAGTTCCATCTTATATATTTATGAGTCAGCATAGTGATATGAAACCATGACAGAACCAACAAAAATGAAGCAAATGCCCAACTGAGTGGCCCAACTGCCCAACAGTACTCAACATGATGCACACCCCTCTTCTTTCCCTGAACCTTCACATTAGCCCCAGGATTTGCAGGCTCCGAGGGATTCTGATCTTTATCTAGAAGGATTCTAAAGGTCTGTTTCAAGCATCCACAAAGCATCCCGAGCAGCATCCCTATACCCCCAGTGTCTCCCTGTCTCCACTGGGGCGGCCACATAGAAGGTGTAGGGGCCACCAGTTGCATTGTTCTCCTCCACATCCACATCCTCTGCCAGCTCCCAATCCTCCAGCTCTAGGCTGGACGTTGCCTCACCACCTGTCACCAAGGGGGGAGCCGCAGCTATGGGGTCGAACGTGATGGGGGCATATCAAAGTGCGTTTCTCTTTGAAGCGGCCAAGATGGCCAAGAAATATGGACGCCTATGGCATGTCACATCAAGTCTGTAGACTTTTTTTGTCTTGGTCTTAGATCCATCCGCCGAGCCACGCAACTGACGTAAGGACATGCTGCAAGTTTCATTCCCCCAGCATTCATCCTCCAAATCTGCCAGCTCGGCATATGCCAAAGCTACCAGCAGCAAAGGGAAAAGAAAGCGCTCAAACATCGGACGAAGAGTTTTTTCCGGGCAGAAACAGCCAACGGAGACTGGGCCACGGGCCCACTTCAACTTGAGCCCGAATGGGAGATATGCCCATGAAAAAGGGTTGGTAGAAGTAGTGGCATTCTCATTTAGGCCTGGAGATATTGATGGCGGTGATTCCAGAAATACGGCATGTGGTTTCCTGAAATTCACGCGAAATCTCTTCTGTAAATAATCGTCTTATCTCAACTGTGTGGTGTATTAACTTGATTCATTTACATTTCCCTTCATCGTGACCCAAACAGGGGTCCATAAAAGGATCTAAAAGAGTCAACTACCATAAACAATCTTCGAGTCCAAACTCGCAATTCACATATTTTTCTCATTTTTCCCGAGAGCGCCTGCGAAGGGTTCTTCGTAAAAAAGCAGCCGTTATACTATATACTACATCTTCACACCTTCACACCTGCAGATCTAGATCTTCACACCTTCACACCTGCAGATCTAGATCTTCACACCTGCACACCTGCAGATCTAGATCTTCACACCTTCACACCTGCAGATCTAGATCTTCACACCCTCACATCTGCAGATCTAGATCTTCACACCCTCACATCTGCAGATCTAGATCTTCACACCCTCACATCTGCAGATCTAGATCTTCACACCCTCACACCTGCAGATCTAGATCTTCACACCCTCACACCTGCAGATCTAGATCTTCACATCCGCACACCTGCAAATCTAGATCTTCACACCCTCACATCTGCAGATCTACATCATCACACCCTCACACCTGCAGATCTAGATCTTCACACCCTCACACCTGCAGATCTAGATCTTCACACCTTCACATCTGCAGATCTCCTCTCGCTCTTCTTCTATTCTCTCTTAAGGCGGGGGCGGTGCCGCCGGAGCGCCACGAAACGCAACCCTTTCGGACGAAATGGACGTTGGACGTCCAAAACCTAGGTAAAATTGCGATTTTGAAGCGTCGCGCGCAACCCTTTCGCACGAAATGGACGTTGGACGTCCAAAACCTAGGTAAAATTGCGATTTTGAAGCGTCGCGCGCAACCCTTTCGCACGAAATGGACGTTGGACGTCAAAAACTGAGGGAAAATTGCGACTTTGAGGTGTCCCGCGCAACCCTTTCGCACGAAATGGACGTTGGACGTCAAAAACTGAGGAAAAAATGCGACTTTGAAGCGTCCCGCGCAACCCTTTCGCACGAAATGGACGTTGGACGTCAAAAACTGAGGGAAAATTGCGACTTTGAAGCGTCCCGCGCAACCTTTTCGCACGAAATGGACGTTGGACGTCAAAAACTGAGGGAAAATTGCGACTTTGAGTTGTCAATCGCAACCCTTTTACGCACGAAATGGACGTTGGACGTCAAAAACTGAAGAAAAATTGCGACTTTGAAGCGTCCCGCGCAACCCTTTCGCACGAAATGGACGTTGGACGTCAAAAACTGAGGAAAAATTGCAACTTTTATTGGTCGCGCGCAACCCTTTCGCACGAAATGGACGTTGGACGTCAAAAACTGAGGAAAAATTGCGATGGACGCTTTCGTTTCTGTACAAGTGTCTGTGTGTAAAAGCGTCTGTGTGTAAAAGCGTTTGTGTTTGAAAGCGTGTGTGTGTAAAAGCGTTTGTGTGTGAAAGCGTGTGTGCGTGTGTAAAACGCATCTGCGTGTAAAAGCGTCTGCGTGTAAAAGCGTCTGTGTGTAAAAGCGTCTGTGTGTAAAAGCCTTTGTGTGTAAGAGCTTTTGTGTGTAAAAGCGTCTGTGTGTAAAAGCGTCTGTGTGTAAAAGCGTTTGTGTGTGAAAGCGTGTGTGCGTGTGTAAAAGCGTATGTGCGTAAAAGTGTTTGTGTGTAAAAGCGCGTGTAAAAGCGTCTGTGTGTAAAAGCGTCAAACGCGTCTGTGTGTAAAAGCGTTTGTGTGTGAAAGCGTGTGTGCGTGTGTGTACAAGTGTCTGTGTGTAAAAGCGTCTGTGTGTAAAAGCGTCTGTGTGTAAAAGCGTTAGTGTGTGAAAGCGTGTGTGCGTGTGTAAAAAGCATCTGCGTGTAAAAGCGTCTGTGTGTAAAAGCGTTTGTGTGTCAACGCGTCTGTGTGTAAAAGCGTTTGTGTGTGAAAGCGTGTGTGCGTGTGTAAAACGTATCTGCGTGTAGAAGCGTCTGTGTGTAAAACCGTCTGTGTGTAAAAGCTAGTGTGTGTAAAAGCGTCTGTGTGTAAAAGCGTCTGTGTGTAAAAGCGTTGCGTCTGTGTGTAAAAGCGTCTGTGTGTAAAAGCGTTTGTGTGTAAAGGCTTTTGTGTGTCAAAGCGTCTGTGTGTCAAAGTGTGTTTGTGTAAAAGCACCATGTGTAAAAGCGTTTGTGTGTAAAAGATTTTGTGTGTACTTTGACCGCACGACATGGAACTGTTAGAGATTGAGGGTGACAATGCTTGTTAGTGTATCCGTGCTAGGACGTGCGGAGCTTGGTTCGTTTGGTGTGGTAATCTGTGTGGGAATTGATATGTTCATAGTGAGCTTCACTGTTCAGTTTGCATGTCTATGCGACAATGATGTTTGCTTGTCAAACGCAGGAGTCGTGGTCTCAGGCTTCGAAGAACACATTCTTTGCATTGAATTGAAACTAGTTTTTTGTTGATGCGTTCAGCCTTCAGTTTGCAGGTCTCTGCGACAGTGGTTCTTTGCCATGTCAAACTCATGAGTGGTGTTCTCAGTTTGGAAGTCAGAGAACAAATGCTTTGCAGTGGATTGTGCAACTCTGCAGCGACAAGCATAGTTTACCTCTTTATCTCTTTCCTGGGCTCAGACGTGAACGTAGAGACAAGATGCATTGTGCACGGAGTGAACATCCATATTCTTATATGTACGCTGAATGTTCGAGAAACAAGTGACGATTGGCCAACAGGGTTCTTTAACATTTCTTGCACTTCTCGAGGTTTCTGTAGGGGCTGTCTGTGAGATCTCGAGAATTGCATTGTGTGACAATGTCAGTGTTTGTTTTTGTGGAATCATTCACTGCGTTCACAAATTAATTTGCACCACTGTTCGCCTGGAGAAACTGTTCGTGGCAAACGTGCTAAATCAGTAGCCAGGTGTTGTTTGTCTGTAAAGATTGTTCGATCCTGTAGGGACATCGGAGAAATGCAGTGAAACAGGTGTCATCCATGCCATCATGATATCGAACTTGTTATTGTGGAATCATTCACTGCGTTCACTTCCTGGAAAACAAAGTGGCAAAAAAAATGGGGCACTGACGAAAGTTGCCTTATTTTCTGCCACTGCACGAATAGTGGCAGTTTTTGCTTCCTATGCCTCCATCAAAACATGAGTATTGTGGCAGCCCAGTCCTTCCAAAGACAAACTTTCACTTTGTGACATGCTTTTCCAAAGGGAGGGGACTGTTGTGGCCGCCTCTTTTTTAACTATTGTTGTCAAGTTTTTAATTAACCATGAACTATTTCACTGGGAAACCTACACAAAAAAGTCATGAATAACTCTTGAACCATTGTTTAGCCAAATGTCTTGACACCATGTTGAAGCGAACGATCTTTTCGGATTTACCACAAGGTCCGTCAGACTTATGGATAGATATATGTAGGGTTATGTAATGATATATGTTGGCATATGTGATGCTATATGTATGAGTAACTATAGGTATCTAGACTTAAGTATTTCGCTATACTTACATTAGATGTGGTTTAGATGCTCTTCACGTATGTCACATATATGTCGAAATGTAGAGTTTGGAAAAACGTGACTTAGCGTACATAAAGCGCACTTAGCCTACATACGCGAACCTTGTTTTTTGAGGTTTTTTAAAGCAAGGTTTGTTGAAAAAGGCTGAAATAATTAGGTTTTTGCTATTTTTTTTTGCATGTCCGTCAAAAAACGAAGACTTTATGCAACCTTTTTAAAAACAGAAAGGACTGTTGTGGCCGCCCAAATCTCACACTTAATATGTATAAAGAATACTTCTTGTGAGAATTGGGTGTCACAACATTCCCTTCCGATAACTTGTGTGTTGATATCTGTTCAAGCCCCAAGGATTAATCTGGATTAATCTGGAACCAAAAAAACAAAAAAAAACAAAAAAAACAAAAAAAACAATGTTTTCAGGACTACTTGGATCAGGGCTATCTTTAGACTAGTCTCCAAAACATTGTTTTTTTTTGTTTTTTTGTTTTTTTGTTTTTTTTGTTTTTTTTGGTCCCAGATTAATCCAGATTAATCCAGATTAATCCAAACTAATCTACGATCATCAGATCTATTTAACATTTAAGTACTAACATGTGGTTGGCTAATTTTCTATATTCTCTGGTCATCTGCCTTTATTGGCTTTTAGCGCCGCTCTCTCTGTGTCTGGACTCCTGAAGCAAGTTAATCTAAGATCATCAGATCTATTTAACTACTACTTTCTAACATATGGTTGGCTAATTTTCTATATTCCCTAGTCATCTGCCTTTATTGGCTTTTAGCGTCGCTCTCTCTGTGTCTGGACTCCTGAAGCTATGGCATGTGGTTGGCTAATTTTCTATATTCTCTGGTCATCTGCCTTTATTGGCTTTTAGCGCCGCTCTCTCTGTGTCTGGACTACTGAAGCAAGTTAATCTAAGATCATCAGATCTATTTAACTACTAATTTCCAACATGTGGTTAGCTAATTTTCTATATTCCCTGCTCATCCATCAAATATAGGCCATGTCGTTTGAATCCACAAGTAAGCATTAGCACATGGAAGTTTCCTCAAGTAAGGATCCATCAAATATATACCATATTGTTTGAATCCACAAGTAAAGATTGGCACATAGAAGTTTCTTCAATTAAGGATCCATCAAGTGACCCTCCAAACAAAGCCTGAGTACTTTATGCCAGGCGCAGGTTCATGTAAAGATCATATCATTGTCTTTTTACCATTTTGGGACCAAGCATCCATAACATTTGAAACATGCTTCTTTGTTGCAGGCAAAAACCTGGGGATACTTGAAACAGTTTTGGATTTTCCATATACATTTTTCCAATAGTAGCTAGCACTTCAATCTCTATATGTTCACTGACAGTTTCCTCCAAAGATT